GAGAGAGAGAGAGAGAGAGAGAGAGAGAGAAGGGAATGAGGTAGAGAATGAAATATCAGGACACCTAGTATCTTCTTCTGGCCTTGGTATAGGCACAAGCACCTGGATGAGCACACACACACACATACACACACACACACACACACACACACACACACACACACACTCATCATAGGAGAGAAAACAGGAAAGAGGCATTGGTGGTAGTAGCAACTTATCCCTCCGGCAAGGAACAACTAAAGAGGAGATTGGAATGAAAGGAAGACATGGCTAGATAAATATGCAAATGAGCCCCATCAACCATCTTGGGCTGGTACCCTATTTTACAGGGCTCAGCATGAAAAGGTGGGGAAGTCTAGGAGCTAGATTTCAGCACTCGGCACCAAATCCAGCAAGGCATCTGTGTCCTGAGTGGCAGAGGGGAGGCCTAGAGCAACTCTAGGTGAGCTGCCTATAGGTGAGTATAGCATTCAGGGATCCAGAATCCTTCCTGAGCTTCAGGTTTGGGGCGGGCTGAGGATAGATCTGTAATACTAAAGTAGGCCTGGAGTTGGGATCAAGAGTTTTCTATATATAGAGGGACTTCTAGACCAAACAATGTGGTCATGAACTTTAAGGGTAGATACACACATGATGGGTGCCCCAGTACTCAGGTAGAGCCTGCTGCTCCACAATGAATAGCAGAGGAGAGATTGGGCCAGACCAGATGGGCCAGAGAAGAACAGCGGAGCAGAAGGACCCATCCCCACCAACACTGGTGTTACACAAAGTCTGCTCTAATGCCCACACACCATCAGAAGGGAAGGCAAGGGAATGGTAAGAATTTTGGAAGTGGAAGTTTTTACCCCAGAAAGACTGAGTTAACCACAAGACGCCGGGAACCAGAAGAAAGTGAGGTAAGGTTAACAGATTTAAAGAATTTCTTTCTTCTTCCTGTCTTTTTAAAATTTATTTATTTATTTATTATGAATGCAGTGTTCTGCCTGCATGTACACCTGCAGGCCAGAAGAGGGCGCCAGATCTCATTACAGAGTGTTGTGAGCCACCATGTGGGTGCTGGGAATTGAACTCAGGACCTCTGGAAGAACAGCCAGTGCTCTTAACATCTGCGCCATCTCTCCAGCCTGATTTAAGGGATTTCTAACCCCTTCTCTATTTCTGCATTCTGCCTGACTTTTCTTTCAGTGGACAGGAGACTTTTTTGTTTGATTTAGCTTAATCACAGAAAATAAGGTGTTCCCATCCCTCTGCAATACCTGAACAACTCGATTTGTATTTTAACTCTGCCAGAGGTATTGCCTCTTCCTAGGAAGGCAACAGTAAAGAACTCCACGATGAGTGACATTCATCACTTTGTTCAGATTTTAGCATTTATGATTTTAAAGGGCTCTATGTACAAATGTTTACACACACATTTATATTTTTGTTCAATAATATGTGCACTGTCCACAGGCACAAAGGAGCCCCTGGAGAGTAACAGATAAGAATGAGGGAGAGGGGGCTGGAGAGATGGCTCAGACTGCTCTTCCAGAGGTCCTGAGTTCAATTCCCAGCACCCACATGGTGGCTCACAACCATCTGTAATGAGATCTGGTGCCCTCTTCTGGCCTGCAGGCATATATGGAGGCAGAATGTTGTGATACATAGTAAATAAATAAATGTAAAAAAAAAATGAGGGAGAGATGGATTCCTCCATATTGTGCTTTGTCTAAATCCTTCCAACAAGCTCTAGATCTGTACCACCCACCACTCAGCAGTTCAGTCAGAGTTTCCATCTCGAGGCTCAGATACTAAAAAGTATGAAAAAGATGGTGACCTGCAAGTTTAGATGCATAACAAGACTAAAATAAACTGGCCTGGAACCCAGTAACAGTACGTGTTACATGGAAATTAGAAGGTGTACAATGAACACATTCCACAAAGGGCCCACATAACCATAATTATATGGTTACAGTTTCTTTTGGGGGGTGATGAAAATGTTCTAAAATTGATGACAGGTTTTTCTAAAGATTTGTACTTAAGAGTATTTGTGTGGGGCCACGTACTTGTAAGTGCCAGTACTTGAGCAGGACATGGGATCCCTGGAGCTGGGGTTGCTCCTGGGATCTGAACTGGAATCTTCTGCAAAAGCAGCAAGCATTCTTCTCTTCTTCTTTTTCTTTTCTTTCTTTTTTCTTTTTTGAAACAGGGTTTCTCTGTGCAGCACTGGCTGTCCTGAACTTACTCTGTAGCCCAGGCTGGCCTCAAACTCACAGAGATCAGCCTGCCTCTGTCTCCTGAGTGCTGGGATTAAAGGTGTGTGCTACTACTGCCCAGCTGCAGCAAGCATTCTTAACTGCTGAGCCACACTCTGAGAAAACCTCTGGATCCAATGTTTTCAGCGTCATTGTAAGATGCGTGAACTTTATCTCATTAAAGCCAGTTTTCAAAGACAAAGAAGCAGCTTTGGTTAACATGTATTAAAACGCATAAAAAGAAGGAATCACATGTTTAGTTTCCAGAATAAAGATGTCGCCAGATGTCAGGAGAAAAGAGAATGGCTCTGAATCTGATGTTCCACTCAGCCAGGGCTGGCTGCATGACGCTGCCTTGGTTCGGAGCTTGCTGCTTGCCATTCAAGAAAAACCAAGACAGTTGACACGGATATTAGGGAAGAAACCTAGGGCAGAGTAAATGTCCTCTAGCATCATTATTTCTTTTTCCTGAACACACAGGAGGACTGTACCTCCTTGACCTTTTAAGATTAGGAAAGGGCCGGGCGGTGGTGGCGCATGCCTTTAATCCCAGCACTTGAGAGACAGAGGCAGGCAGATCTCTGTGAGTTCGAGGCCAGCCTGGGCTACAAAGTGAGTTCCAGGAAAGGCACAAAGCTACACAGAGAAACCCTGTCTAAAAAAAAAAAAAAAAGATTAGGAAAGGTCATGGGGCATGCCTTGACCATTTGACATGCAAGAAACCTACATTTGCTGGTGAATGGTACTTCCCCTCCCTTTTACTATCCAGCCCAGAGTGACTTTTTTTCCCCAGTCTTAGTTCTTTTAAACATAAGTTGTGATAAAATGAATTGCTCTTAGGTTGGCATGGTTTAGATGTGACCAACCTTTTGACGTTGGCACAAGAAACTGTCATCTACAAACTTTACTCTTGAGAACCATGCAATTGAGTCACAAAAACATGGCAAAAGCTATCTCATAAAGTAGGCTTACAATGTTATTTATGCCAGACTGTACTTACAGCTATCCTTGGGTTGTCCAACCCTCTGACACTGTGGCATGATGTTGTGATCTAGAAATGTGTTCAATCTCATTCATAGCTAACCTGGAATGTATGTAGCCTGTGGACCACATGTTGGACATGTCTAAATGCTCTTGACCTGAAGGATATCTCTTCCTTTAAAAAAGTGACAGATCATCACTCCAAATTTACTGTAAGACTATATACTTTCTATTGTCAGCACACTTCTACAAGCTTGTGCACATGTGGACACACACACACACACATACACACACACACACACACACACACACACACAATGCCACAGATTCTATGCTGTTCATCTGTGCATGTTCAGAATTCCTTTGTTCTGAAGTTAAAATTTTTATCCGAAAACATATGAACTACATGATTTATGAAAGGCTGACCTACCTGCCAGGCTGCATTTGCAGAGTAGAGGGAACACCCATAGTGCCAAGGTCCACATTGTTCCAGAACTCACACCCAGAGGCTGGAGAGAGCTCAAGATGTCATCAGTCAAGTGAGAGTCTCTCTAACAGCAGTACTCCAGTGATGGATTCTAGGCACGTGGGCATGAAGGATAGTTTTATTTCCATCCCATCCCATTCCATCCCCCATCCTATCCCATCCTCTACCCCTTTCCATCCCCCATCCCATTTTATCCCCCATCCCATTCCATCCTCCATCCCTTTCCATCCTTCATCCCATCCCATCCTCCATCCTATCCCATCCTCCATCCTATCCCATCCTCTATCCCATCCCCCATCCCATCCCATCCCCCATTCCATCCCATCCTCCATCCCTTTCCATCCTCAATCCCATCCTATCCTCCATCCCATCCCATCCTCCTTCCTATCCCATCCATTTCATTCCCCAATCCTATCCCATCCCCCATCCCATCCCATTGGCTGTCTGTCACAACACAGATCTTTTCACAATTATTACATCAACCCCAGTCCCTATTATAGATATATACTGGCAACAGGCTTTTCTTTTGTCCACAATGCACACCACTCTGCAATACCCAAAGCAAACTACCATCGAGAACAGGACTGAGGCAGACAGAAGGTACCACAAATCTGTACAGATCTGAGGCCAGCTTCTTGTCTTTGCCTCACGTACTGAGCACTGGATCAAATGAAATAACCCCCAGTTTCCCAGAAAGTCTATTTTATTTCATGTCTACAAACTGTGTATGTACCTACAGGGCCCTTTCACCTTGTAAGATTATGATATATACTTTGGGTTTTCACCTGGTCCTTGGCTTATAACTCCTTCTTCAAGGCAGACCATAGAAACTAAACTATCTCTTTCCTGAGATAAGTCACAGAAGCTCTAACAGAAATTCTAATCCCCCTGCCTTTTTGTGTGTGTGTGTGTGTGTGTGTGTGTGTGTTTTGAGACAGGGTTTCTCTGTGTAGTTTTGGTGCCTGTACTGGATCTCACTCTGTAGACCAGGCTGGCCTCGAACTCACAGAGGTCCACCTGCCTCTGCCTCCCCAGTACTGGGATTAAA